CCTATGTATAAACACATACAGGGGCAAATGCTCCACTTCCTGAGACAGTCTGTTCCACAACTGAACAATTCTAGGGTTGTTCAGTTCTAGGTCCAACCAAAATCAAAATCTGGTTCCTTCTAATTTAAACTGACTGCTTCTCATTGTACTTCTGAAATAACTGAACAAATTTGAACAGTCCTGTCCCATCTTCCACATCTTTCTGATCATGTATTCATGCAGTCCTTTCTTCTACAGGTGAAACATACAACGTAACATAGTTTCTTTGTAAGTTATTCCTTCTAAGCCCCTTATTATCTTGCTTCACTCTGGACATTTCTAAAATGCAATGCCCCAAACTCAACACAATGCTCTAGATTCTGACCAATACAAAATACAGAGGAATTATTACTTTTTAAAAATCTTAATATTATATCTCTGTTGATACTGCTTAATACTGTCTTTAAGTAGAAACAGAATATAGTAGCATATTCAAGACCAACTAACTTTATAATTAGATGTATAGAGTGGGTTAGATCCTGCAGGACTTCAAATAATATGGAACAGGGGGAAGGGATGAAAAAAACCCAGAATGAGGTCAATTAAACAATTGTAATAAGCTACAAACCCATTCTCCCAATTTATACCTTCTGAAATGGATTGGGATTTTTTAATATATATTTTTCTGTTTCATCAGTGCTACTTTGAGGTCAATGATGAAGTATTCTGGATGGTTGAAATGTTGTTCCATTGTCTTATGATTGTTTTGAACTGTAATAACTGTGCATGTCTATTTATCACACACAAGTCCATTTATTCACAGAATATGTGAAATATTTTTTAATGTGTCTTGCTGTCCAGTATGCCCTCTTTCATTTTATATTATGCATTTGATTTTTCTTATTAAAATGTAGACATTTACAGTTGTCTTTGTATCATACTGGCTAAGATAATGTCTTAGCTTGTCAAGATCATCCTAAATCTCATTTAATTTTTATGTCAAATTTATATGATTGACTATTATTGTTCTGTCGCTGAGTCTATACTGACTTGCTAAAAACGCTATTGCATTTTACTGCCTTGTAGTCAGAGGGGAAGATATTTAGGTCCATGCGAAATGTGTGTTATAGAATATTTCACACATTTTCTAAATAGGTGGTATACATAATGCATACTAAATAATGAATCTGTCATATGAACCAATATATTAACTATTAGATACGGGCAATGGTATTCACATTTCTTAGTTGTAAGTACAACTGTCCTAGATGGACCTTACTTTCAGGTAAGTATAGAAGTGCAGACCAAAATAAGCTCTGTGACTATTCAATTCCAATTAAGTCTTTGTTATCAAACTTTCTCCAGAATATCAACAAACTATAATTCTCACAAAGTACAGGCTATAAAACAGGAAAACTAACTATACTTTCCTACATACGTACAATTAGAAACACATTATATGTATATTTTAATACATTCATGGATTGGATTTGGGGAGTCCTGTGGCTAAACAGAGTTATTTATACATGATTAATTCAATTGTCTGATGCATTCATTAGGGGTATCCTCAGACAGCTGGAAAACAGCACTGAGTTGTTAGCAAAACATGTGTGTGAAAGAGAGGCACAAATGGAAGGGAGACTGAATCAAAGTCAGTCCAGGTCTGTGCAGACAAGATGTGCCTGGGCAAGAACCAAGTATACTATTCTCTCCACCCCCCCACCCCCATGTCTTTCTCTATGGAACTCATCAAGTCACTGTCCTTTTGTACTAAACTGACAAAGAAAAGTTAGCTTCATTAAGACCTTGCTTGTTCGTTACAAAACAGGCAAAACCCAGCTATGCTCTCCTGATTTTGAACAAGGGCCGGGAGTGCTTATGAGGTCCTACTCTGTTCTTCCCCTTTGCAGGTGTGGGATTACATTCCCCTAGAATTCCTAGCCAACCTAATCACTGATTGGGACTGCTGGAATTTGCAATCTTAACACATATGAGGCAGGAGGTTGGGGCTGATTTAAGAATAACAACAGCTGAAATCTTTGCTCATTGATGTGGATGATATTCACTCAGTCAGTCCACAAAGACCTCAATGAAATCAAAAGACTTACTTTTCACAGGAAATAGAAATAGGATATAGAATTAGGGAGAGTTTCTTGGCAAACCTTGCTCACATTTTTTTCCTATCAAAGTGCATATAACAAAATATTCTTTTTGGCCAGTAATTGGTGCAAGATTAAAAACACATACAGAGGCAGTATATTAAGGAAATGGAGAAGAGTGTTGGAAACATTTTTTAAGACGCTGTCAAAGCCCAATTTGCCAGAAAGAATTCATTTTAAATGTGGTTTTTCTTTGCTTTTTTCTAGATTATAAAAGAGTGCCTGAAGCTACAATAATCAATGAAAATTACAAATGCTGGCCATCCTACCATCACAAAGGATGTCTCCTTTCTGTATTTGATGTAAATGAGGCTATAGAGGTATGCGAGAGTCATTCGCAATGCAAAGCTTTCGTTTTCATCAACCAAACAACTTGGACAGGTAATGGTTGCCAATCAAAAAAGTTTTGTAATCATAAAGTAGCAAAATGAGAATGTTTGAAAAAAAGACTGGCACATTGAGGCATCCACATAAGAAAATAATTAATCTGTTCATAATATCACAATAGTCTCTGTGATTACTGTACCTAGCTTTTCATGTGCCTTGGAGACATTTCTTTACGAAGTAAATAGTAATCAGTTCACCAACTATCTTTTTTTTGTGATAAAATTCTACAAAGGGATTCCTTGTGACTAAAGCACATAGAATTGTCTGAATGAAGATCTATGAATGGCAAATTGTGCTTTCCATCACATTTTATTTTGCAAAAGGAGTCATTAACCTTATTGAATTCAAACTTATGAATTCAAACAACTTCTTTATTCTTGTTTCTTAAGTTAGGCCTACATTTCTCAGAATTCCAGCTAGAATGTACGATCGCTATATTGCCCGGCAATATAGCCTTGCAATTCTGGGAAATATATTTTCAAATCATCATCATCATCATCATCATCATCATCATCATCATCATAATAATAATAATAGTAAAGTTGGAAGGGACCTTAAAGGTCATCTAGTCCAACCCTCTGCTCAGGCAGGAAACCCTATACCATTTCGGACAAATGGCTGACCAGTCTCTTCTTAAAAACTTCCAGTGTTGGAGCATTCACCGCTTCTGGAGGCAGGTTGTTCCACTGGAATCCTAGTGGATGATCACTTGACCATGAGCTAGCAGTGTGCAGCAGCAGTCAAAAAGGCTAATACAATCCTCGGTTGTATAAACCAGAGGCATAGAATCAAGATCACGTGAAGTATTAGTACCACTTTATAAAACCCTAGTAAGACCACACCTGGAATACTGCAGCCAATTTTGGTCACCATATCACAAAACAGATGTTGAGAGTTTGGAAAAAATTCAGAGAAGAGCAACTAAGATGATCAAAGGCCTGGAGACTAAAACATACGAAGAATGACTGCAGGACTTGGGTTTGGCTAGTTTAAAGAAAAGAAGAAACAGGGGTGACATGATATCAGTATTCCAGTATTTGAGGGGCTGCCACAAAGAAGAGGGGGGTCACGTTATTCACCAAAGCACCAGAGGGCAGGACAAGAAACAATGGTTGGAAACTGAACAAAGAGAGAAGCAACCTAGAATTAAGGAGAAATTTCCTGACAGTGAGGACAATTAACCAGTGGAACAGCTTGCCTGCAGAAATTGTGGGTGCTCCATCACTGGAGATTTTTAAGAAGAGGCTAGAGCCTAGACAGTCACTTGTCTGAGATGGTATAGGTTCTCCTGCATAAGTGGGGGGCTGGACTAGAAGACTTCCAGCTCTATTCTATTACAGAAGAGAATCCATGCTGAGGCTTTGGGGATAACAAGAGCAATGAAATTAATCTCCAAAATGAAATAAAAATATAGCAGAAAAACTGAAAGACAGAGAGAGAGAGAGAGAGAGAGAGAGAGAGAGAGAGAGAGAGAGAGAGAGAGAGAGAGAGAGAGAGAGAGAGAGAGAGAGAGAATTTTTTTTTTTTTTTTTTTTTTTTTTTTTTTTTTTTTTTTTTTTTTTTTTTTTTTTTTTTTTTTTTTTTTTTTTTTTTTTTTTTTTTTTTTTTTTTTTTTTTTTTTTTTTTTTTTTTTTTTTTTTTTTTGAGAGAGAGAGAGAGAGAGAGAGAGAGAGAGAGAGAGAGAGAGAGAGAGAGAGAGAGAGAGAGAGAGAGAGAGAGAGAGAGAGAGAGAGAGAGAGAGAGAGAGAGAGAGAGAGAGAAAAGATTAGCTCCAAACGTATAAAATAACTCCAAAGATGTAAAAATCTAAAATATAAAAGCCAGTAAAACATTTTTTGAGGGAAAAACAAAAAAAGGAAAAAAAAAGGATTTGCCTAAGATTGAAAATCAAGATGGCTCAAAAATATCTTTATGGGGGGCATTTTATGGAGAGGAACCGCTACTGAGGAGGATCACCAAATGATTATGCTGGAGAAGTCAGAGAAAGCTCAGGAGATCATTCAGCAGATGGCTTTAGTATTTATTTTTTTTTAAATCTGTCTTGGGAATGTCCAGAGGACAAATTGTTGATGATGATAGCACTTGAGAGAAGGGATTTAGGGAAGCCACTCTCCTTTGTGTTAAGACTAAGCCGAGGTCCACTGGCTACAATAGTGATCCTGCAAAATACATTCCAACGCCTTTTCTTTATCAGTCCTGATGAGTTCCAAAGAGATTAGCGTGTGTGTGCTGGATGACTGTTTCCAGCTGGATGCAATGTAAGCAGGCTCTTCCTTTGACAAGCAGAGCATTCTGTTCTCATATCTCAGCACTTGCAGATCCTAACAAATGCCACCTCACTGAAAGGGCAGCCTCAGATGAACTCTGGAAACTTGACAAAGGTCATGCCTGCTGCTATCAGTCTTAGCTATTGAATTATATTGTAAACTGTTTAATAATAACTTTGAAATATGTTTCTGGCCTATGAAACAATTTACAAGAAATTAACCCAGTATAACATTTAACGATAGTTAAATTACGTATAGGCAGAGCCAAAAGTCAAGCAAAATAATCTGTTACAGCTTAGATAGCATATTAACCCCATTTGAACTCAAAAAGTAGATTTTTTTAAATTTTAGTATTATTTTTGGATGAATCTTCTTTGATTAGAACAGGGGTCTTCAAACTTGGCCCTTTTATGACTTGTGGACTACAACTCCCAGAATTCCTCAGCCAGGCATGCTGGCTCAGGAATTCGGGGAGTTGAAGTCCACAAGTCATAAAAGGGCCAAGTTTGAAGACTCCTGGATTAGACCATCGTATCTCAATTTGTTTGGAGGGGCAATATTTGAAAGATAAGGTGAGAAAAAAAGGATACACAGTTGTTAATTTCCCAATCTTTCCCCGATAGATAGATAGATAGATAGATAGATAGATAGATAGATAGATAGATAGATAGATAGATAGATAGATAGATAGATAGATAGATAGATATGCACGTACCAAATTGTTGTCACTGACTTTTGGGGCTGTACCAGGAATGATGACTGTATTGCTATAATCAGACTTAAATGCCATGCTCCTCCACTTATTACGGTGTAATGGGTAATTTCAACCAAAAACTCTTCAGTATATATGGCAACAATGCTTAGTTCATAATATTATGCTTTTGTTGGATTAAATCAAACTCATCAGGATTTTAGTGGTATTTATAGGCCGGGAATCCTGGAATGTGTTAGTTCTCACAGAGCAATCATGCAAATAAGTATCATTTATTTATTTTTGTGATAAACATGTCTCATGCTTCTCTTATAGATGGGCTATGGCTAGTCTTCATAGGAAGGCTATTCCTTTCTTAGAAGTAACCATTGAGAACTCTTGATGTACAATTATGATCCTGATTTGATATATTAAGGTGACCAACTTTTTTACAATGAAAAGGAAGACACAAATAAATTGAAGAAAAAAATATCGTAAATAAAAGAAACATTTTATTCATTGCAACAATAATATAGAATACACTATAATATGATAAATGCATAATAAAAAACATTTGTAACAATAACATTTTATATTGTAATTATGCTTACATGCTGCGCCCCCGCCCACAGCTGCCCCACCAGCACTGCTGCCCCGCCGTGTAGAGCGGGCCCCACGGCTCCCAAAGCACCAGCTGCACCGGCTCTGGTCCCGGGGGGAAGTCCGCCATCGACACACCCCGCCTGCAGCCGCCCCGCCAGCACCCTGCACAGCCCCGTGTAGAGCAGGCCCCAGGGGGGCAGCTGGCCACTACCGCCCTCACACCCCCGCCCACAGCAGCCCCGCCGCCCCTGCCTCTTGCGCCCGTAGCCATTATTGCCCTTGCAGGGCTGAAGATCAAGAGAAAGTTACCGTGGCGTTGCCGCTCCAGTCTCCTCCAGATGGTGTAGTTGGGTAGCAGGGAGGGGTGCAAAGTTCCTGCCAATTCGCCTTCACTGTAGAAAACTTACATGTGCAAAGTTTGCTTGCCGGGTGTTGTGGCGCGCTCAGCAGCAATTCCTATTGGCTTTTGAAAGCCAATAGGGGGAGTAGCATAACTCATGCAAAAGTTGAAAAAAAACCATCGAAAAAAGGTGCCGGAACGCCGTTCTGAGCGTTTTATGAGAAAAAAAAGCCCTGCAGATTAGTCTTCAAATATCGAAAAGGAGGACATGTAGGAGGACACTTTTCAAGGGAGGACAGAACTCACAAAAGGAGGACCGTCCTCCCTAAAGGAGGACGGTTGGTCACCTTAATATATACTAGGGCTCCTCAAACATGGCCACTTTAAGACTTGTGGACTTCAACTCCCAGAATTCCCCAGCCAGCCATGTCTTAAAGTGGCCAAGTTTGAGGAGCCCTGGTATATACCTCGCAAAAGAAGAGGTTGTAGTTGGATAACTTCAGAGTTAGTTTTAGGTTAAAATTTCTTTATACTTCCTAATCAATAGGAGTAGTACTACTAATAATAAATTATTTGTTGTCTGACAAGGTCGTCAACTTGTGTACTTCAAGATGGGATCCACTTCCATTGTGCCTGACCATGCCAAGATAACGTATGTGAAAAGATGAAGTTTACGTGTCCTATAAGCTCAATTCTGGGCAGGTTTACTCAAACTACATCTACGTGCCTTACTCCATAGTAAGTGCACCCAGGTTTGCTACCCTGGTTCAATTGGTCAATATGACAGCTGTTGGGGTTTTTGTTTTTTGTTTTTTTTAAAAAAATGAAAATGGCTTTTGTGTGCAAAGAAGCTGAGAATGGGGAGGAAACTGCACTCAATCTATACAGAGCAAAACAAGTTTAAGAAGAGACCTTTATTACCTGAAGGAATGTGCAATATAATGACGTTTTTAAAATATGACTCTATATGAAGAAGCATAATGAAATCCAAAATGTGACACACTGCATGGCTAGCCTTACAGTGTTAGAAAGCAGCAGCGTGCTTTTCTGACGAAAATTACACACTCTCTGTACAATTTTGCTGAGGGTTGGTTGAAAATTCTTCCTTTTCATAAGAAGCTCAGGATTACTTATTCCAATATTTATGTGAGTAAGTATAATTAATGCAGCACTGTTAAGTCTCTTGAAGATCAAACTTTCTGGAAGACAATCAGGACTTCTGTGATTGTATGAAACAAAAAAGAGTTGAACATCAGGGTGGTCCTTGGGTAAGGGATTAATTTGCTATCAGAATTGACATCCAATTTTTAAAATCTAGTAATTCTATCACTTTCATTAAACCAGCAAAATTTGTCTGTGAAAAAAAATATGTGCAATTTCACAGTTTGCAGAAGATATTATCTTAAAAGAAACATTGCTTCACTTTAACAGAGGAAGAAATCAGAAGTGTGGTTCAGTCCTTTTAGCCTTCAAATATTATGACCTTATGGAGTGTATTCTCTCTTGAGGGTATCAAGTATTACTTCACTGACTTTAGCATATCACAAGCTAATTCTGCAGCTCCGGGGATTCAATTTGCTGAATGGGGTTCTGATTTTTTTTTTTTTTTACCCAAGTGTCCCCTGGTAGCACCACTGGAAATAATGCCACTTTTAAAGTTGCACATGTCATCTGCAGTTTTAATCTGATTGTATAAAAGTATGCATTGCATCTGCTGCTCAGTTACTTTTTTAAAAAATGATTAATGTGCTTTTAATCAGTCTAACTGGTTAATTGACTGAATTTTGCAATTATAGTACCTATACAATCACCATAGCCTATGCCTAGTTTAACAATAAGCTAGAGGTTGCTCCTTATTGTGATGAAAATGAAGTATGAGAGAATTATACACTGTAAGCCTATAGTGTGAGCATGTGTTAGTAAATGGAGCAGGGTAATTGCTGTCTCCAGCTCACACTCCGAACTGAACCCATTTACTTTTCCCATGTGGGTGGAATGTGTTTCACACAGCTTCGGAAATTAAAAGTCCATGAGACATGGGGGCTAATCTTCTTAGTAGGGGAAAGAGAAGGAGGTATTATCATGTTACAGAAGCTTCTGAAAATTGTAGTCTGTTTGCTTAATCCTGATGGACTTCATAGGAACCTCCAGCAATTGAGTCTATAAAGATCAATATAATTTCTTATGGGTTTCATTTTTGGTTATATCGATCCAAGGTTATAGGAATGCATTGATCAAGCTATGCATATTTAAATGCTAATTCAAAATTTTGTTTCTATATATTCCAGTGTCTTATTTTATCTAAAATGGGACACTGGAATATACCCAAACAAAATTTTGAACTGGCATTTGGATACGCATCATGACTTGATTAATTCATTGCTATAGCCTTGCATCAATATTTAGAGCTGATTATTATTAATTTAACTCAAATTGAAAAGTTTTAAAATCTGAAACTAAAGTGCACACTTGATGTGCTGCACACACGAGATGTTTAATGAACTAAAAAGTCCGGATTCTCATATTGATGAAATGGACTATCCAAATTGCTGTCCAAGGGACACTACTTTGAAAAATATTTTCACTTGCATTTGGTTCTAAAAATCGATGGAATTGTTCCTAGAGGAGGCAATATAAATGATGACATAACATCCTGCAACTAGATGTTCAGAATACTAGGGAAAAACTTTATTTGGGGCTAGTCACTTTTATTTATCCAAAATCAGATAGAAATGTATCCCCTGGCAACTACCACTAATGAAAGATGTAATTTTTCCAGAGTATTTACAGTAAAAGATAAATTTCTGCTGGTGATTGTTTTGAATTCTTAAGCTGTTGCTTACTAGCTTTAAAAATAAAATGTCTTTAACAACAGCAAATAAACCCAAGCCTTAATAATGGAAAATTTGTAACAGGCAAAATGTACGGATGTAGATTATGCTTTCAATGAAAGCAAGCAAGAAAATGTTAAACGTGACAAATGTCATGCTTTTACCTAGTTTGTACATCCAGGAAATTTTCTACTTTTGTTCTTAAATTGTTTATTTTTATATGAAAATAAAATGAAATGGATGAACTTCTTTCTGCTTTGGCTGTAACTTTATTTATTTATTTATTAAATTTATATGCAACACAACTCACTGTTGAGTGACTCTGAGCGGCTTTTGGGGTCCCTCTTATTGCTGCTACTCTAAAATACTGTGCTATCATAAAGAAACGCTTCTAGAGAGGGTCATTGTCAAATCAAACAGGAGACAGAAGCTTGTGGCCTTCTATATGAAAGGCATTTGTTCAATCTGTGGATTGTTTTAAAACATAAAATGAATGTATCAAAACCTGAAATGAGTTTCAAACTCCAGGAGCTATACCTGAATAAAAGACTGTTTGCCCTTGTAGACATCAGGCCCTAGAGATTAGACTAGGTTGGGATTTTTTAAAAACTTTCCCTGGCTAGTATCTGCCTCTCTCTGTGATTGTGTTTGCTCACATTGCCCATCTCTGTGATCAGGCATGTTGTGACGCAGCAGTTAGAGAGATAGCAATTCAAACATTCTTTTATTCACAAAATTCTAATAGATACTATAGGAATCAAACCTATAGGAATCAAACCTAGGATTATTGTGAGGACAAGATTGGAGGAAATTCAGTTATGCAGCTTAGATTCTTCTTTAGAAAAGTTATTCCAATATATTTTTAAATGTCTATACAGTACCGTATACATTTCTTTTCTGCTGGCTCTCCATTTATTGTTCTCACAATAAATCTTTCTCAAAAGATGCAATATTTTTATATTCAATTAGATTATGTTTGTTAACATAGATTGTGGTTTACCACAGTTTGACTTAATAAAGTTTATGATGCCTCACAGAATGGGACAACTTACTGCGGCCATCTTGCCGTGGCCAACTCACCATGGCCTTCTTGCTGCACCAACTCACCATGGCCATCTCACCACGCCAACCCAGCACAGCCATCTCACTGGAGCCATTTGGCCATGGCAACTTGCCATGGGACAACTAGCCATGGCCAACTTGCTGTGGGACAATTCCATGTGAGATAACTCAATGCCATAAATATTATCCAACAGTGTTTCTTTGACATCATTTCCATTCACAAAAATGGAAATAAAGTAGAAGAAACAATGGTGGGTAACATTTATCACATTGAGTTATTCCAAATGGATTGTCCCACAGCGAGCTGTCCCACAGTGAGTTGGCCATGGCAAGTTGGTCTGTGGCAAATTGGCCATGGTGAGTTGGCTGCAGTGAGTTGTCCTAGATCCTATGCCTCAAAATTATTTGATTATTAATATAAAGCCTTCATTAGGTCACACTTTTAAAAAATAATTACGTTTCTTATAGAATGTGAATAGAAACCTGTAGAATAGACTGCACAATAGAAGCAGTAATGCTATAATAACTTTTGTTCAAACTTCCTTAAATCCAGTTTTCTGTCCAAAGAAACAAATGTTCCAATGAAAATAGCAGAAGAAAGAAAGGTACATAGCAATTTCTGTAGAAGGTTGGGATTTGCATTCGTAGGATTTCTTGTGAGAAGCATAGGAACCTTTTCACGTGTTGAAAATTTCAATGGGTTTGTATATTTCCTTGGCTTCTTCAATCAACTTTATTTCTATGGTAGAAAAATTAAAGAATCTACCAACCCTGCTCTAAACAATGATCTTGGGCATAAAAAGAAAGAAAATTCCTCAGATCAGAAGACAGATATACTGTTTACATAGCACAAAAGGAATTGTCAACTTCTGAAATGAACAATCTGCCAGGCAAATTTAGCAAATGGGACTGGGGAGCTGAGGAGATTTTGATTGCAATACAGACCACATTGGTCTTAAAAATGTTGGGTCTTTTCAAACTTTTAAAGTATTGAAATGCAAAGTGTGGATTTTCAGTTGGTTGGGGGGGGGAGAAAGAAATTAGTAAGTAGGTAGGAACACAATTTGTTTAAAGATGTTAGTCTTAAAAACGGACATGATAGTCTTTATATGCACGACACAATATATGTACTGTTATTGGTAATGGCAGCAAAAACCAAAAATCTTAATTTTCCATTTGTGCTCCAATGTCATCTCACAAGACTGGAAAAAATAAAGAAGGTGTCAAACACTATGACCATAAATAAATATTTGTGACTAATATCCGTTTCATCAAGTACCATTCCCATTTGCCAAATAGATACATGGATAAGCATATTGAGGACAAAAAATGGAAATGGCAGTGAAAAATAAGAAGCATAGGGTATGACAACTCTGTGTAAAAGCGTTATATATGCAAAGCTACAATTTCTGAAATAAGCTGTTGGATACAACATGATGATCCAAGGGTTGTTATATTAATATACATATAAAACAATAGAATGGAATAGAAAAGTTCTAGCCTGCTTGGCAACTATAATAATAGCTGAAGTTTCCAGAATATAATGATAAAAATACAATTAAGTCTTAAGACCACTGAATTATACTGCAGACTACTGATACGAGATCATCTCTCTTTCTCTTTCTCTCTGTCTCTATCTCTATATCTACCAGTGTGTGTGTGTTTGTGTGTTGTACTCAGCATACAGTATGTATATGTACTCTATTATTTATTTATTTATTTATTTATTTATTTATTTATTTATTTATTAAATTTATATACCGCCCTATCTCCCT